AGAGAGAGACCGCAAGTCCATTAGTATGTGTTCGTTGGGCCTTATGGCAACACGATAACAACCATAAGACTGATAGAATTCAATTGGATTGAATTGATGATTCACTCACTGAACTGGTGTGCTTTTTTCCGATTTATTCGATTCGAAATATGACATGGTTAATTTTTTTTTGCCTTGTTTCTTGAGAGAGTAAAGGAGAGATGATATTGAGAGAGAGAGAGAGAAAATATGATAAAATAGGGAAAATTTCCACTGACTTGGTTGCGGACATATCTGCCGGGGCACATATATCAGAGAGAGAGAGAGAGAGAGAGAGAGAGAGAGAGAGTATTATGCCGCTCTCTCCCTCCCTCTCTCACAGACATACACACAACCGCTTATACACATGCACTGACTCCCCGCTTATACGCAATGCTTTAATTGTTCGAGTGATTGAAAGCATTGCAATAAGGGAAGCCGTGTACGCACGAATAATAGATAGAAGAAAAAATCCAGCTTGCTTATTTTCAATTGACATATATAAAGCAATTAACAACGTCTGATTTTCATTTTCTATATGGTTGTCGCCGCTTTCATTAATCAGTATGTCAGGCATGATGACACTTACAAAGGAATTTGAAGTGACATATCCAAAAATCTGCAATGTGGACGAGACAACTCAACTCCGCTATCTGGATAAGTCCAGATTTTCGCAGCATCAGTTAGCGGAGTATGTTGTTGTATTTCAGGAGTGTCGGAATAATATGTATCATTATACTAGCAAATTTAAGAAGACATCGTCAATCACAGCCACTAGCAGTGGCAGGAGGGGTCGGTATTGTGAGCGAGAATGGGTTTGTCAAGCTCACGAAAAGGGAGGAGATGTGGAAGGGACTTCTCTGACTGCCTTTACAGTAGAAGAAATGGAAGTTTTGTCCTTTAAGTCAGTGTCAGACATTATTGATGCATTGGAGGAGTGTCGCAACAACATAATTTCTACGATATCAGGGCATTATCGAGAACCAATGGACGTTGGGTGTAAAATTTTAGATTGTAAAGTCCATGACCCTTACTTGGCGGTGAATGGTTGGGCGGATGGACTTCGTGGCAAAGTGAAAGACGTGGCGACAGCGAGCGATGTACGTAATGGTCCTGGCGGTGCAAGTCGGATTATTGGGCTAACGACTACGGATGGAGGAACCGTAGATTCGATCGATGCAATCCTTGCGGAAGTGTTGGACAATATCGGCGAAGAGGAAAGAAAAATGTTGGCAGAGAGACGCAAATCCAAGGGGAAGGAAAATGTTGGGGCAAATATGTCCAATCGGCAACAAACGGGATCCTTCAAGTCGTTCCCAAAAAGAATCGCGCCCACATGTGTAACGGAGGCTGTGCTGATCAAATGGAGAGTTGAGAGAGAGAGGAGAGAGAGAGAGAAAGAGAGAGAGAGAGAAGAGAGAGAAGAGAGAGAGAGAAGAGAGAGAGAGAAGAGAGAGAGAG